TGAGGTTAATATATATAATTACTTTAAGCAGGTATATCATATATAAATTATTTGTTTATAATATTTTTGACTTATTAATAATATATAATTAATAATGAAGATAAATAGATGAACAGAATTTAATAAATCTTTACTCTTTTTATTTAAATTGCCTCTAAAGGGATATAATTCTTTATATAATATATTTTTAAGACAAAGCAAGTGTGTGTATCTGATTGTAAATAATGATAACGAATAACCTCATATGTGTATATTGTATTGTATATTTATTTAGTTAATTCCTATTTCTTTACCTCAAAGAAACGTTGGCAATAACACCTATTATATGAGTTTATTTATTTTTAAACAATTGTGTTAAAAACAAATTGTACTCAGAAACAATAGAAAATGTCAAAAACTGTTAGAACAATCCTTAACTTAAAATAAGGACACTTTGAATTGCAACACAAAGTTATAAAATAGTTGAACGTTTTCCTAAACTTTATTATTTGGCAACCCACTCGGAAAACACTAAAGTGCCAATAATACGATTTAGTTGGTTTTATGCTGTCCAACGTCTGTAATTGTGGAGAAAATATCAAAATAAATTTCAGTGCCACAATTTTTGAGTTTACATGAGTTTAGATTTAAGGTCACTTACTTTCAAGATAGTGTAGGTAACCACAGCCATTACTGCTATGACAAATAATTTGAGAATATTGCAAAAACCGCTTATTTTGTACAATTTCATTCACATTCACATTAGAAAATATCATAATTTTAATTGTTGACCTTTTGGCACTTTGATAGGGTCATAAAGTTTTCGAGTTTAATTGCGTGGAAATAAAATTTTCTATGGAAAGTCTCAAAATGAGCTAATTCCATAGCCTTAAAAAGTAGACATAAGTTTGTAGTTTTTTCAACTTCATATAATTTTTATAAAAAATTGATATTTGTTTTATTGTACATCGTTATTTCATTTATATATAGCCATCAATATGGGGCGAAATTAATATGTGGCGAAACCACTTGCTCTCTGTCCCCCTAAAAGTGTGCACAAAAAAATATATTACAGTATTTTAGAATAAAGAAGAGAGTGAAAGTTTATGCGCTACAATCAAAATACGTTGACACCCGTTCGCCAAGTATTGAAAATCGTTGATTAGCGCATATGTAAGAGTTGACAATTGTTTTACTTCTATTGAAAATAGTCAATTATTACTGTTATTATAAAGAGCGAATATTGTATCCCACTCATTAGATCTGCTGTACTCCTGTTTTGACTAAGAGTGACTCATGAAGTCCTACATCTTCCATAAAAAGTAATAATTGTTCTATTCTTTAAAGTTTCAGTTTATAATTATATATTTAGCATCCATCCTTCTTTCGTTTTTGAATTAGTATAAGGTATCCCCCTCGCATGTTTTTCGAAGTCAAATATTATAAATAAAAATTCCTTAAATGCAGTGACTCTTAAACAGATTCTTTTCTTTTCTTGATCTGGAAATGATTGAAGCATACACCACAGTATGGGCACTTCATTCCAGTAATAAGGGAAGAAAGATATGAAGGAGAAGCTTAATACCTAGTGGACTAGGTTTATCTAAGTCAAATAGCAAGCGCTGGTGTAGGCAGCTGAGGATTAGGCGAAGGGGGCGCAGTTAATATATAATTAGGGAAGAGAGATATGAGCGAGAGGCGTAATACCTAGTGAGTTGGGTTCAACTAAGCCAATGAGCAAGGGCAGGTGTAGGTAACTGACGACTAGGCGAAGGGGGCAGGGTTTTGCATACGCATGGTCTGTGGACTAGTGGTAGACTCTCTGACTGGAATCTTGAGTGTCACGGTTATAGAGGGGAATGAGCCGAATTCCGCTTATCTAAGCATACTGTAAGGTGTTAGGAGGGTTTAAAGTGTATGGCTTGGATGGGGTTTGCTGGAAGGGTGCTAGGGTTAGAGACGTCAGGGGGCGGGTTATGCAACGGGATGAGTTACCATCGGGCGAGTATCAAATTGAACCGATTCTTCGTCACGCCAATTTATAAATATGTTTATCGAGAACCGACAGGCTGCCCTACTTAGCACTATCTAATTTCAGAGTAAACACTAACCGTACGGGACGGTATGCAGATCTTAGATCAGTCATTGAATAATCACGAAGCATATGAGGAATACACAAATTAGTCAGTAAGATGGGTGGGACTCTACAAAAACCCTTATCAAAGAGTAAAAGTTTCCAGTTGCACTCACTCGGAAAATGCTCAACATCAACAAAAAATTATATTTTTAATACATAAGCAAAAGTGCTTTTTAATCACAAATTAAAATTATGATATTTATGATAATTTTTTAAAGTTAAATGAAATACTTAAGCCTTCATTAAGAAATCTTTTGTAAAATTTTAATCTTATTTTCAAAATACTTTCTACATTCCTACTTCTACTCTTTAAAATGTTATAAAACTTGAACTCAAGAAGTATCTCGGAATTGTTAAAAGACACTTTAGAGTCATCGACTCGGTAATTTCATTTCAAAGTTGTTTGTTTCTTTGACTTTATTTTTATTTAACTTTGTATTTATATTAAAATAAAAAGGGAAATTGTAATAAAAAGCAACAAATTTGCGGCACTTGAAATGGTGGAAAATACGGCAAAGACAAGTGCTTTATAAAAGAAGGATAATGTGTCTTAAACACGCATAACACATACTTAAAAATGTCTTGTAGAAGAAAACTTCCAAAATGATGCTATTATGACCCAAATTCATACTTAAGTACAGTCGTAAAAGTTTTTAAGGATTTAAGGATGTCTGTCTGTTTGTCTGTTTGGCAACTTGAAATAAATAACATTGTATTATATGCCTTGCTGCAGGACAAAGTAATTTCAATTTTTTCCGCTTTCCTTTTTGGTTTTAAAACGCGCTGTTGCGTTCAAAAATAAAAATATAATATTCTTTTATTTATATTTTATGCAAATTTTAACAAAACTTATGGCAATAAAATCGGTTTTTATTGTGCTCAAGTGAGAAATTTTCAATGGCATGGAAACAAATGTTACTCATACGTCATGTTGGGTAATGAAATATTGTTCGATATGTTCGTATTCATGTTTCTTAAAATAATGCTAAAAATTTCAATTATTCTTGTTTTTTTTGTTTATTTTTAATTTTAATATTTCTATTTTATATGCATATTTGAACTCATAACTTTTCATTTTCTTAACAAAAAACTTATGCGGCTTCTCATGCATAGTTTCTATTGTAAAATTTTATATGCACGGATTGCAATTTTTCCAGTTGTTTTGTTATGTTATTAAGTTCAAGTATTAATAAAAACTACAACAGCTGTTATTAAATTTGTAAAAAAATGTATGTTATTCTTAAAGAAATTTATATTGACATAATTATACCAGTAGGTAGTCAATGTAACAATGAGTAGTTAAATTTTTAAATATAGTCCCACACAAAACTGGGTAGCAGTAAGAAAAATTATTATTCATAAAATTAGTCACATGCAAAATTAGATAGTAATAAAATAAATTATTATTACTAAATTTATAACCCTTTCTAAATATATTTGAAATAAAAGTATTCAATTATAAAGACTAGTAACATGGTACATTAGAACGAATGACATCCTCAGGGACCTCAAGATTGATCTGATCAAAAAATACATAACGGATAAAGCCCTGAAATTATTTATGAGATTTACCAACTCCGCGTTATCGAATCTCAAAATGTTTACAGACTCCTCGGGGAAGTATGCAGATCTAAGGTCAATTATTGCTTAGTCTGATGAAGTGATAAACAATAATCCAGTCAAGGCGTAGAGAGTGGTTTTGAAGAAACCTCCCATTTAATGGAGAGAAAAAGTGTTCAAGTGCACTGACTCAACTAGCTTCAACATAATTAATAATTAATAAATGATATTTACCTATATACAATAACAGACAGAGCAATTTCTCGGTCTGAAACACAGATTCCTCTTCCAGGAATAAAAGTTTCTTAGAACGGTTAGTGTGCTTTTAAAAACTGTGATTTTATAAAAGCTTTATTTTCAACGACTAAATGAGCTAGTCTTTATGTAAGATGAAGTTCTATTTGAGTGTATTAAAAAATAATTTATAAATCGACTCTCTTCCACTCTTATATAAAATGAATTTATTTCTTTATATTAATTTATTTTCCAACTTTAACAATTTTTATATAAAAAAATATATTAAATT